CCGCAGCTCCCGCGAGGGGGTTGGCACCACAAGTCCCGTCCGCGCGGCCAAGCACCAGGCGCCGCCGCAGCGGCAGCCCGCTCGTTCTCGTTCCTCACTCACCCCAGTCTACAGATAGGATAGGGGTCTCCTGCACGGCGGCCGGCGGCTCGAGGGGCCTCTGGGATTTGGGTGCCCGTTTCGTTTGCATTTACGCCGAGGGCCGAGGCCGAGTATGCCCCGCCGGCTGTCCTTGCCCGATCGAAGCCGCCGGCTATTGAAGCGGAAGCGTGGCATGCAAGCGACCGCGGACCAAGGACGCAACGCACGTACGTACAGTATTCCTACGATCGAGCTAATAAAACGAGGCCGTTAAGCTGGGTACGTGCGAGCAAGATACACCTCTGCGTGCCGGCATCGGGTCGGGCCGGACGCGCGCGCGGTACGGTAAGGAAGGTATAGCAGGGTTTCTTGCTTCGAAGATGTACCAAACATGTACATCAAGCGGTCCAACAGCTCTTACACTCAGCCTGTTGCCAGGGCTTATCAGCCAGCCAACAGTGTTTTTCTCTCACAATAAGCTAGCACCAGCCGGACTTATCAAGCCTAAAAACGAACCAGCGAGTTGACTGTGTTTGGACGCGGCTCTCCGGCGCTGAGCAGCGAGCCTACTCCTGTCCACCTTTGCTTGCTGTGTCATCCAACGTTGCTTGTGTTCGGAGAAACGCGAGGCTAGAGCCCACAGCCCAGCTCATCAGTCATCACCGTCTGTCCTCGCCTCCTCTTCTTCACTGCTTGGGAGTTGGGATCCGTTATTCCGTTTCCTCCACGGCGCTCACGCCCAGCAGGCTGCGGGCAACGGAAGGTCCAAAAACTCTTGGCGGGCTCACCTTACTGGGCCTCCGAAAGAAAATGAAAGAAGGTGAAAATTCCTAGGCTTTTTTCTCGGGATGCATTTCACAACTCGTGCTAATTTCTCATTCCCAAAGAAATATCAAAACCCAGCGCAGTCCTTCATCGGGGGGGAAAAAAAAGCTGAGAGCAGTAGAGCGCATAGGTTAAGGGCCTGTTTTTTTTTTACAGGAACACACAAAAAAATGTCTCATATCTGATATATATTGAGAAAAACAAAGACTAATACAGAAGATAGGTAATAAGACATAAAACAATCTTTAAAAAATAAGGGTACATAAAAAAAAACAAATCGGTCGTCTTGTTCCTTCAATCATCAACTGCTTGTCGAAGCTTGAAAATCACACTGAATAGACAGTAAAAAAAAAGAACAGCTACAAACATCCTCGCCAAACATGGCTTTGAAGACCACAACAGTAACTTATTGCTGACGTGATCTAGTACCCACTGAAACAATATCGTCCGGAGGAATCCTCCAAAAAAACACAAGCTTGCAATTCTTCACCAGCAGTTAAGGGCCTGTTTGATTCTTGATCACTCGTCGTGTCGGAAGGGCGCCGCTAGCTTATCCACCTGTTTTTTTTTTTTGGTACAAAATGGCTAAATCATCAATCACGTCCACAGTCGGACAGGTACTGTTTCCACTTGCCTGAATGCATGCTTGCGGCGACAGAAACACATGCATGATTATAGACAAGACTTGCCCATAGTACAGAATCTAATGTTCTATTTAGATTTTACTTTTAATATTAATTCTAGAGAGTACGTACTTCCTGTGTTTGAAATTATAACACATTTTTTCTATATAAGATTTTATATACACCCATTCCATTCCACGGTGTAGGATGCTGCTCATGCGAGCAACCAAACCGACACGCTACGATGCCCGCAGAAACGCTGTGCCACCGCATGGGCTCGTACGTGTACGCAGGCCGCCGGGCGCCCAAACGTCCGTGCGTATCGCCCAAACTGGTCCCGCGAGCATCAACCTCGCGCGCCATCGCGATTGGGAACGGAGCATCTCGCCGCGCTGAAAAAGGGCAATCGTCCGAGCACCTGAGAAGAGAACGCGTGATTAGGTTAGCAGCATCTTCGCTGGTTGGTTTCTGGACTGATAAGTTTAGCTGATACTGATTTATTGTGAGAAAAAAACACTATTAACTGACTGATAAGCCCTGGCTAAAACCAACGAACTGACTAAACCAGCAGCCAGAACGAACGTGACAGGCAACTCAGAGCAAGATAGGCGTCGCGCACGGCTAAGCTTGAGTGCTTGACTAACCCACGACGCCCACAGGCCACATCACATCTACACTGTAGTCGGCTGATCTGAAAGGGAACCCGCGCCGGACTGCATGCACTACCGATTGAGTGATTGGCTCGATGGTGCGTAGCGGAGCCGCCGCGACGTGACGTGCTGGACTGCTGCTGCTGCGGTAGCGGTACCCATATCGTCGATTTGGTGCAGCTCTACCTCTACCTCTACGGGCTCAAGTTCGATCAGATCAGCTCTACCCTGAGATAATAAAATTCAGAGTGCTGTTCGGGTGCTTTCCTATCAGTCAATGATCGGAATTTTCAGCCACTAATGCGCCCCCTGCCCCCCACACACACACACACCACCACCACCACCACCGGAACGTGGGAGGTTTTCTGTTTTCTATAGTTTTCATGTGATTTTTTACGAATCCTATAAAATTCATGCATTCCAAACGGATCCTAACTATTTTTTAATCATTTCTCAGTCTGACTCCCCCAATTTCACTAAACCACTCTCTCCTCCTTAAATTATTGGCCGTTTATTAGCTTTACTGGAGATATACAACATTCTTTTTATGTATGTGTTGACACTCAAAATTATCCAAAGTGTATAATGGACTCCACCATCATGTTTCTATCATCAAGACGATCAGAAAGAATACTTGAATCATCGCATTTGGAGCACGGACGAAGAAAATGGCTTTCCGTGAGGCTGAACCAGCTAAGCCGACTTTCTCATGTTGCTCAAATGCAAGAATGAACTGCACCATTGCGTTCCTCTCGTCGCGCTGATCGAAAAACATATATGGATTGCTTCGTTTGAAGAAATAATTATGAATTACCCGTGCTGGAAACCGACTCGGGTTGTTTCCAAATCGCTTTTTGGTCGTGGGAAACTTAGAGATTATGATTTGGACTTATTTTCTACTGGTATAATATCACCTCCTTTAAATATATGAGAGGATCATAGCCAATTGAATTCCCAATTATCCCATCGTCAAAAATCAATCTACAAACACCCTTTTACACTCTTTTGCACCCCTATGTGGTTCATCCCTTAGCTTAAATCCAACGATCAAGGATAGTGTTCTATGCTCGTTGGCCGACCTAGGGCAACCGCCAACCCGGTGACGTCCTTGCCCCGACATGGTCCCTTCCGGGCGAGATCTTCGACGGTTTCTTTGCTAGTTTGTCTGAAAACTAGCGTGTTCTTCGTTACGCAAGCACGCTGGTTATTCTTTGGTGGTTTGCTTGTAAACCTCTCTATTCTTCACCGCGAAAGTCTGATGTCCTCACTGCGTCTTTAGTCCGTGGTGGCCCGGGCGATCTATCCCTGGCTAGTGTGTGATCTGGGATCAATCCGATGTCAACAATATGTAGATATATAGTAACTTAACAGTAACTTGTTATGTACCTAGAAAAATCTAAACAATTTATAATTTTGAACATAGGAACTTCTTTTCGAGAGCATTTGATCGGCTCGAGTATATTTGTTGAACCGGACAGGCGCATTCAGGGAAGAAGTGACATGCTCACATGCAGTCTAGAATTGCCTACTACTCCGTATGATTATCAGTTTTGCCGAGGACAGAGGATTGAATTCTAATGTGGACCAACTTTGAACGTGTGGCATCTTCTAATAATGTGAATTTGAGACCACTTAGAGTTAATTTGGAATCTGAACTTGGCTAGTTTAATATAAACTCATCTCGTCGACAGCACGCATGACTGAACTTTCCTAGTGACACCTAGCTTGTCACAAATCTGGAATAACCAGTCGTCATCAGCCATCGTTCTACAAGACCCAAACGACACACTGGAGACTTGGACCCGGCGGGCGGCCTTCTTCTTCCACTTATTCCACAAGCGTTTGTCATTTATCGATACTTTCTCACGAACAAGCAGTTTTGACTGGTTGATTCGTTCTATTTATTTGAGTAGATTTTCGTCTCTAACGTAAAAGCCTAAAAGGGATGTACAGTGTCTAGAGACGAGAGACATTTTACAAGTTCCAGTCTTCTCAGTGTTCTCGTTGGTCAGGAGAGCTGAAGTGAAGAACAAAAAGATTACTGCATTAGTTAAGCAAAACCAGAAACCCAACACACTTGCCTGGAGTCACGACTCATTACCGTATTTGTGCAGTCCAATAAAGAAAGCCGTGCCCTTCCACTTAATCAACATTTTTCAGTCTATTCACGAAAAAGAAGGGCGTAATCCTAACACCACACGTCCACACACGATGCACTGTTGCACAGGGACCGACGGCGACGCAACCTTTCGTTTGGTTTGCTTTGCGGGATGCGAAAACGACAGCCACCGAACATGGTGGGGGCGTGTGAGAACATTCCATACACGCACGGCCGAAAAGGAGTCGCGCCTTCAGACCCACATGTCAGCGGCACGAAACCATGGTGCAGTTACAGTAGTACAGCTGGCACAAAGCACTCGCGTAATCGCGTTCAGGGTCAGAATCCACTCGCGCCGCCACTGCCGCGCGGGGCCCGCCACCCGCGGAAGCGGAAGTGTGCGACGTCTCCACGCATCTGCATCCGCCGCTGGCGCTGCGGCCTGCGGGGCTTCTCCCCGCCACCCCACTCCCACTCGTCCCGCACCCGCATTCCCCGTGGTCAACTCGCTGCCTCTCCAGCGACGACCGCGAGGGGGCCGAAATAGGCAGGCAGGCCACCCAAAAAAGCGAGCACCCTGCGCGCACCACCTCGGCTGCCATCGCCATTGCCATGGCCATGGCCACGCCATGACGCCCCGCCCCGCTGCACGCGCTCACACCCCACCGCTCCACTCCGCTCCGCCTCACCCTCACCCTCACCCTCGCCCACCACTACCACCCCATGCTTCCTCGCTGCTGCCACCGCCGCCGCTCGGGTGCCTTCTGCCTCGCCGTGCTCCTCCTGCTGCACCTGCACCCGCACCTGCATGCGGGCGCCCAGGCCGCGCTCGCGCTCGCGCGGCAGGACGTCGCGGCGCTCCACGGCCTGCGCGCGTCCCTCGGCGTGCGCGCCAGCGACTGGCCCGACAGGGCCGACCCCTGCGTCTTCTGGTCGGGCGTCGCCTGCCGCGCCGGCCGCGTCACGGAGCTCCGCCTCTCCGGGCTCCGCCGCACCCGCGCGGGCGCCCGGCGCGCGGCCTTCGCCGTCGACCAGCTCCGGCGGCTCACCGCGCTGGAGGCGTTCAACGCCTCGGGTTCCCGCTTCCCGGCCGGATCCCGTCCTGGTTCGGCCGCGGCCTGCCGCCGTCGCTTGCCGTCATTGACCTCCGCTACGCACGCGTCAATGGAGAGCTCCCGACCGATCTCGGATGTCTGGGAACCTGACCACCCTTGTTCTCTCCGGTAACAACCTCTCGGGCTCTATCCGCCGTCGCTCTTCTCAATCCCTGGTCTCCGCGTTCTCGATCTCTCCGCCAACAACCTCACCGGCGCGCTGCCCAACGTGTCCTTCGCTGGCAGTGGTGGAGCCGGAGTTTTGTTCAACGCCTCTGGTAATTCCTTGTACGGCGCTATCGGTGATGCCACTGGGTCCCTCAGGAAGAGGTTCTGGGTTGTTGACGTCTCGGACAATTACTTCGATCAGGTGCTTGGAGCTGGGTTTCAGAATGGGACCGATGGTGTAGCGGATTTCAGAATGAACTGCTTGTCTGGTGCAGCAAGCCAGCGCAGCCGTGGGGATTGTGAGGCGTTCTACACGAGGAACGGGGTGAGGCTAGCGTTGGACCCCATGTCATCATCGCCATTGCCGGAGCCACGGCCACCACAGGTGCGGCCGATGCCGTCAACGAGCAAGAGAGGGGGCAAATGGAAGTTTATATTGGCCGGGGTCCTTGGAGGTGCTGCGATTGTGGTAATACTTGGCCTTAGCGCGCTGGTGATTTGCTTGTTGAGAAGAAAGGAAGGAGACCGAGAGGAAGAGGAGTGGAGCAGACTGAGGAGGGCATTCGGTCTGGGCGGAGAAGTAGTAGTGTGAATCCCATCACAATGTCACCCATGGCATCCCCCGGAGCCAGTGGTTCACAAAAGGGCTTTCCTGTTATCATAGATGAATTCACCTATGAGCAGTTGCACCATGCTGCAGGGGGCTTTGGGGATGATAACCTTGTCAAGCGTGGGCATTCCGGTGATATGTACCATGGTGCCCTGGACAGCGGATTTCAAGTTGTCATCAAAAAGATTGATCTGAAGAGCAGTAAGAAGTGTCAGGTTGAGCTGAGCTTCCTTACAAAGCATAGCCATGGGAGAATCGTTCCATTGCTGGGCCATTTGGCTAAGGATGAGGAGGAATTGCTGGTCTACAAGTACATGGCAAAAGGTGACCTCACAACTGCACTGCACAAGAAGTCAGTGGAAGTTGAACAGGGTCTGCGCTCATTGGATTGGATAACAAGGCTAAAGATTGCAATTGGTGTGGCTGAGGCCTTGTGCTTCCTTCATGACGAATGCAGTCCTCCGTTGGTTCACAGGTATGCTAAGCAATCTTCCCTTGTTTAATCATTTGCTAATGTATTCCATGAGCTGTTAGTTGGTGTATGGTAGTTTCGAAAAAATAATTTGTTGCATAAAGTATATGGCTGCTTTCAAAATTAACATGATGGGACAGGTAGTGGAAATAACACGTAGCTAAGGTCAACTGATTCCTGCTATTTATTAAATAATTAAATTCCACAAGAGGTGATAAGTGGGATAGTGATAGAAGGTACTTGTACATTTAAAATAATTAGTAGTTGCACATTTTGGTGGGGGTCCTCTACATGGTCCCTTGTGGTCCTGCATCAATTGGCACACTATGTATTTCTAAGAACCATAGCTTAAAGGAAAATAGCATGTGCAGGCTTCCATTGAACCTTCATTTACATGTGAGGACATCAAATCTCAAAGTCTAAAATAAACGAACCTTGATACATTTAAGCTTAAATGCATTGGTTCCATGTCAACAGTAAATCCTAACATATTTTGGCAATGAAATAGATTGATTGTTTTGTGAAAGTGTCATGTCCCTGTCATGGTACTGAAGATATTGTTTTTATAACATGTCTATTCATGGTATCCCCAGTCGTTCCAAGAAACTCTACATTTGTAATTTTAAGTTTTGGTGTGCTTGATGGCAGTCATTTTTAATTGAAGTTTCCCATTTTGGTTGCCTTATCTTTCTATTTTATATAGTTTTGGTCATGCAATTCTGAATATCTGCAAGTTGTTCAAGTTCTTTTGATATCTTGATAACTGTTAGTGCATGCATTATTATTCCGACTTATGTCTTCATTGTAAATGTAGAGATATCCAAGCTAGCAGTGTGCTTCTTGATGACAATTTTGAAGTGCGCCTTGGGAGTCTGGGTGAAATATGCACTCAACAAAGTGCAGGAAGCCAGAGTTTCTTCTCTCGGATTCTAAGATCATCGAGGTGAGATTTCTAAACCATCCTCTATGCTTTTATTGGCCTCAGATCCGCACGGGTGTTAGGGTGTAGAACCATTCTTGCCCCCAGAACTGATTTAATGAACATGCTCCTTTTAAAAGGAAAAAACTAGTACTGTCTGATCACCTAAATGGTATTAACCTGGCAACTGCATTAGTGTGTTACCACAAAAGGCAGGCTAAGTAATTTTGGGTCAATGCAAAACAGACTACAACTACAAGGCTATAGTGCTATCAGGTGCATGTACTGCATTTTCTAACTAGAATCCAGTGTGGCTACAAAAGTTCCTCCCACCAAGAATGTGTAGCTTAATTCTTATCTAGAGAATCCTCATAATGAGTCTTTTAGTATCACACTTGTAAATTACAATATTATGTCCCTGAACCACATTGATAAGACATCTGTAAAAATTAAGAGAGTTCATGGTAGGATAATGTACTGATACTTCACCCTGGTTAAACACCTGGCCTTTTGCCTATCTTAACATATATCGGTGTTCCTGTAAGGTAGGTTAACTTCAACCATTTCCCCTAAGAAAATGTACTGCCAAGCAACACACCTACTCTACGAGACTTCTATTTATATGATATATGAGGGTCGTTTGGTGACAGTAGTATTTTTTCTTTCTGGCAGATCCCTTGACAAGAACATATCAGGTGTGTAAAGCACTCATCAGCTCTCTTTTGTTCAATATTTGCAATTTCTATATACACATTCAGGCAACTAAAAGAGCTTGTGTGCAAAATAAAGTTGTGTTGTAATATTATGATATCTGCTTCTCACTTTACAGGTCCACCAGCTACCTGCTCATACGATGTTTACTGTTTTGGGAAGGTGCTACTAGAGCTAATCACGGAAACTTTGGTGCGAGTGGCTCAACTGACGCAGACTCAGAAGAGTGGTTAGCAAGAACATTAGGTTACATCAATGCCAATGAATGACAAGGAGGGTGTCTCAGGTATTGTAGATCCTACCCTTGTTGTGGATGACGACCACCTAGAGGAAGTATGGGCAGTGGCCATCGTCGCGAAGACATGCCTGAATCCAAAGCCCTCTAGGCGTCCACTCGCCCGTTACATCTTGAAAGCACTGGAGAACCCACTAAGGGGTGGTGCGGGAGCAGGAAGAGCTCCAATCCAACGCATCTCATCTCAGAAGTACCCCATCTCACGGCTCTTGGCGTTTTGCCTTCCATGGAAACAAGTACTACAGCTGGGAGGTCATGCCAACGTCGGGGCAAGCACTTGCTCGGAAAAATACAGCAAAGTCTCGGGGAAGCAGAGGCAAGCAATGAGTACGAAGAGAATTCATTCTCATTCAAGAGGGCTTCACGGGAAAATTTCCCGGATCCCATAGAGTTTGAAGAAAGTGTTGTTGTGTAGGAGTACCCGCAGATTAGCGATACTTGGTGTGCATCTCTTTGATGCCTCTAGGTGAAAAGTTGTGTATACAGATCTTTCTTTTTTCTCTCTCTTTTCTTCCTTATCTCAGTCATTTGAAATGGAATAAATGGCACACTGGGTGTGCGATCCTTGAAATGCAAGCCAGTAAAATTCTTAGATAGAGCCATTTGCCATTCAAAACTCTTCTGAAATTCAGGTTGGGGTCCAAAACTCTTCTAAAGGTGATCATGATCATTGGATTGAATGAGATCATACTTGTGCAGCTGAAAACTTTTGAGCATAGCCACCGGTGCGTATTGAGTGTGATGGAGCATTCTGCAGTTTCATCTGGTGAGCTTGAACACCGAAGGCGAAATGGATGGTACCTCCATGGTCTGTTGTAGCTTCTGGTGAGTTTGAAAACTGATAAAACAAGCAATCTGAACTTTATGGAGATCGGCGACAACAGAGAGGAGTTCCTGGCAGCCAGCACTAGCCGCGAGACGGCCTATCACTTGCTTTTATTCAAATTCCAAACAGATCTGGTGCTGTATTCACAGTTTGGGTGGGTTGAGAAAAATAAACGCTCCAATACATACGTGTTGAGACTTGAGAGGGACTGGGAGAGAAAAAACAGCTTGTTTCCCACTCAAATCCATATGGACAGTAGTTTTTTTTTTTTTAAAAATCCATATGGACAGTGGGGGAGTCAAAGCCTAGGCGCGGAAGCCTGGCGTACTCAGCAGACCTCTGTTTTCGTTTTATAAGAACTGTTTTATATTAGTGGTTGAGAACTGCCAAAAATCGATTTAGAAAATAAAATAGTGGATGAGAACTGGCAAAAAAACAATCAAAACAAAATCTACAAAAAATAAAAGGTCCCATCGAGATTTGAACTCGGGGTACGGGACTCGAGTCCATTGGGGCCAGGTGCACAAAACAATTCTATTTATAAAACACTAGTTTGACTGTAATTTCGTAGGTTCAATCAGAACGGCGAGTTTAAGGCCTCGATTACATCTGATTTCACTTCGCCCAGGCTGTTTAGGCCGAACAAAATTTTATTTTGATTTGGTTGGGGTGCTCCAGGCTCGGGCAGTAGTGCAACGCCCGAGCGACACGAGAGGGTCCCAGTGGCAAGCCACTGTGGTGAACCCTCCCCCACAAAAAATTAATTTAATATCGAAGTGGGCACATGGCCCACGTATCAGATATTAAACTGATAAGAACAGATACTACACTTGATCTTAGCCAAAAGGCCGAGAAAGGTATGAGGTCCTACCGAGCCCTGCGTCTGCTTTTATAAGCTTCCTCCGCTCCCGCCCACTCAAGACGGCCGAGGTGGGACTAAACTGAAGCACCGCACGGCACAGGCAAGTCAAGCGCAGCGCCTGTGCCTCTGTTTGGTTATTACCTGGGCCTTTTGGGCTAGCAATTGGCATCTCGCGCCTCGATGCTGGCCCGGACAGCCCGGTCCGCAGAGCCTCTCTAACTCCATGTTCCCGAGCCCGTGTCCACCGCAGCGGCGCCAGAACGGCCGCGCTGTATTGTACATTTGTACCACGGCGTCTCGTAGTCCGCTTTGTTTTTGTTTCCCAGAGGTGCACGTCGAGGGTGCGTCCGCCTCAGACTCCATGTGTGCATGTTATTTGTCCTCGCTCATGTTTGAAACAAAATCTTTCTTTAGCATCTGATGACACTTGTGATCTACTTCCAAGATTTACTACAGATTGTGCATGAATGAAACCGTTCCGGGCGCGGCACGGAATCTGATCTCGAACCCGCGACGCCAGGCCAGCCATCGTTCGATATATACACCTCGCATAGGCTCCAGGTAGTACAGTACGTGGTGACGGTGCAACCAAACGTACGTGAGTCCAAGCAAACCGCCGACGCGACGCGAAGATCAAATCCGCGTTCCCGGCCAGCTTCGCCTTGCTATTACAATAATCCCCGGCGGCCATATGCATCACCGTGACTGCCCCTGTCCGCCGGCGCACCACTGCCACACCGACGACGTCTCAGCCACACGACTCACTACGCCACACCGAATCACCTTCAGATTTACCGATGGATGATCTGACGCTAAAAATAACTCACAGATCATCTGTCGCTAATTTCTCATTTAACGATTTATTGTCTGTTGCTATAGATATTGATATTTAACGTTGAACTGTCTGTCGCTAAAAATAAGTATACCGGCACTGTCTGTCGCCAAAAATAAGTGGGCCCCACCACGCCGCTTACAATGAGCTCATGCGCAAATTTTGGCCCGGCACGTGTACAATGAAAACCCTAGACCCTTCCCTTCCCCAAATCCCAAATCCAGTGAAACACCGCTGCAAGTTCATCCTCTCCCGCCGCGCGCCATCGTCGTCTTAGCAGGCCAGGGCGCCAGGGTGGTCATTGGGCCGCCACCGGGCCTCCCACTAAAATGCGGGCCATGCCGTGCCAGCCCGTGTGCCTAGAGTGCGGCCCAGGCACGCCCCTATGCATCGGGTCGTGCCGTGCTTGGGCCGGGCAAAAAAACCTTGTTTGGGGCCGTGCCGTCAGACTGCGGGCTGCATAGACATATATACATCTCACCGTCTGGTTAAAAAAAAGAAAAATATAGCGCACGCCAACACAAACAAGAAAAAAAATAAAAACAGAACGCACACATC